TTAAAGAAAATTTACTTATTTTTAGATGTTCTCAGTGTTTGTGTATTAAATTTTCATAACATATATTCTTTCTTATACTTTGCATCTTTGTAAGTAAAATATTCTGATGTATCAATTAGCATAACAATTACCATAGAGCCAAAATGTCTTCCAGATTCACTTAACCATCATGAGCCTTTTAATAAGTCCCTATCACAGTCTTACCCTTTGGATCAAGAAGAGAAGTTCCCGTTTTAGTAAGCTTTTTGCTGGTGTGACTAAATCACCTGACAAGAACAATTTTAGAGGAAGAAAAGTTTATCTAGGGGCCCAGAGGTCTTAGTCCATAGACAACCAGCTGCATTCCTCAGGGCTGGAGGTGAGGCAGATCATCAGGCAGAATGTTGCACAACTCCATTTTTTTTTTTTAACATACCTTTAAAAATTCAAATTTGTGGGCTGGAGATGTGGCTCAGCGGTAGCGCGCTCGCCTGGCATGCGTGCGACCCGGGTTCGATCCTCAGCACCACATACCAACAAAGATGTTGTGTCCGCCGAGAACTAAAAAATAAATATTAAAAATTCTCTCTCTCTCTCTCTCTCTCTCCTCTCTCACTCTCTCTTWAAAAAAAAAAAAAATTCAAATTTGTTCCAAAATGATAGATACATTAGGGAACAATTTGAGTATACACAAATATCAAATTTTCTGATGCATGATTTTGTTCACCAAAAAACACTAGGGAACTCAAATATTGTACCCAGCTGAGCTAGGTAAGAATACAAAAATGCTCACATCACACACTCTATAAGGTCATTGAGCCACACCAAAAGTAGCTCAGTGCCACATCTGGTGCTTCAACTTTGACTAGATAACCCTCTTTCTACCACCTCACAATAACACAGATTTATAACTTGGCTGGGCAGCCCCACACCCTCCCTTTCTTCACCTCTCTCTCCTTTCCTCTCAGTTCTTTACTGTTTCTCTCTTCCTGTTTCTCTACACACACACACACACACACACACACACACACACACACACACACACATTTTGTTCTTTTCCTTGAGCAGAAAGGATTGTAGGCATAGGAGTTAGGCATGCTAGCCAGGAGGAGAGTGGGGCCCACAGGTCCACAAACCAACATCAGTTTTTTCCCAAGACAAAGAGTCATATTTATTACAATTATGTTTTCCTTAACCATTAACACATAAAACCGAGCTATTATTTTGACTGGATTCCTATCTTTTTTGTCACTGATGAAATTTGTGAGTGCTCCATTTTCCCATAAGCCCTGTGGTTTTTGTGATTTCATATAACTTGCTGAATTTTTGGAATGTATATTTCATATTCAGGCAGCTCTGACTATATGTATATCCTTCTTAGCAACTGCTTTATATATCATGCCACAATATATTTAAGCATTCTTTCACAAATGGCCTTTTATGTTGACTTCAGTTTGGGCACCAAAAAATATATGAAGAGATACATCAAACTTTTAACAGTGGGCGTTAGGATGAGAATAAATACAGTCTGTCATTCTGTATACAGGTGGGTATATTCTGCAGGTACAGCTGCTAGTTTAGATATATGACATAAGAGAGAGGACTCAGGAATAACACCAAGGTTTTTGGCCTGAGAAGCTAGAATGATACTGTCATTTACAGATATTGGGGACACTATGAGAGTATAATTTAGAGAGAAGATCAGGAGCTGATTTGGGGGCAAATTAAATTTGAAATACTTACTAGACTTCCAAGTGGAAGGCATTTGAATTATAAATGTCTCAAGTTCAATAGGATATGTAAATGTGGGAAGTACAAATTTGAGAGATATCAGGTATAGGTAGTATTGAAAACTACAAAACTGAATCACATTACCATGGCAGCAAATTCTATTTTAAATTTTTTAAAAATAGAAAAAGTTCAAGGACAAAGACCTGTGATGATATTTGAGAAAAATGGAGGGAAAATGAAGGAAGATTGAGAAGGAGCAACCAGTGAAGAAGGAGGAAAATTCAGGAGATTGTGATGTCATGGAAGCCAAATGAAGATGTTTCCAGATGGAACCATGGATTGTGTCAATTGCTACTGACAGATCAAATGAGAGGAGGAAAGAGAATTAACCACTGGATTTACCAAAGATAAATTAAGATCATTGATGACTTTAGTAAGAGCAAGCAATGTATGAAGGAAGGGTGGAGCAAAAGCCTGATTAGAATTCAAGAAAAGGGGATTCAAGAAAATAAAGATAGGAAAAAAGAGGAGTTTATACAACTCTTTCTGGAATTTTTGCTGCCTAGGTATTTAGTTAGAGAAAGAAGTCAAGAGTGTATTCTTAAGATCGAGGTACCTCACCATGTTTGTATGCTGATGGAAAAAAATCTAGCAGTGGGATTTGGAAGTTAATGGAGGAGGAGAGAGGGAAACAGGCAGATGTGGTGAGGGAATATGGACATTCTCTTCTGATTGCTTCTAATTTTTTTTTCCTATCAGTTTTTCTTTTTTCTGTATTACATTTTTTTGGTTTGGTTTTTTGTTTTGTTTTAAGTTGCCCAGGCTGGCCTTGAACTCCTGGGCTCAGGCAATCTCCTGCCAGACTCCTCAGTAGCTAGGACTATAGGTACATACCATTCTGGACACTATTTTTCCCCCAACTCTTGTATTGTTGCTACATTTATTACAAGTATTTTTATAGTCTTATCGTGATGTAAAAATGGGATTTAGTTTCCATTTTCATTTTTAACTAGCTATTATTGCCAGTTAAAAACTTACTTTTGTATGTATTTTGTACTCAGCCAATATACCAAATTCTATTAAAAATTTAAGTATTTCTTTCATTTTCTTGAGTTTCCTGAAATGTTTACACCATTCCATCTTTTCATCTTACCATAGTAAGATTTCCAAAGCAATGATAATAAACAGTGGTGATTAAAGACCTTCTTGTCTTGTTGCTATTGGGCTGAATGCTACATTTCCCCATGCAATATATTTGTTGTTGATTTTGATAAACTATCTTTATCATCTTTAAGTAATTTCTTTTTACTCCTATTTCTCTAATCAACTTAGTTTTACTCAGAACAAATACTGAATTTTATCAAAAAACTTTCTAGCATGAATTCCCTTCTTTATACTGTTCATGAAATGAATTACATTGATAGATTTCCCTATATAACTAGCCTTGTCAGGTGCTATATTTTTTGATAAATTACTAATTTGATTAATTTATATTTAGGACATTTTCATCTATGTCCATAAGTGAGATGTATATAGCATCAAGTTTTTGCTGAAGGGGAAAGCAAAATCAAAGAGAGAATTTTATTTTGATGGAGATTTTTCTATTCTCTAAAGACAGAAAGAAGAACTTTTTAAAATGATGATAGGAAGGATGAAATAGTTAAAGATGAAGGAGAGAAAGGGAAATTAATAGTATTAAATTTTAAAGATCTAGAGAAAAACTAGGGGAGAGAGAACCAAGGGATATCTGAATTATGATGCAATGGAAGGGATTCAGGTCCCTCAGATCTGGAAGTTTAGTGGCTAAAAGTTAAGGGAGATCCCATCTAATGGCTTCTACTTTCACTACTGTAACACTACCTATTCTCAAAGATATTTCCACTTATTTATGTATTGGTTTATACATAGCTATTTCAAAGAGCAAATGTTGTTAGTAATTATTTTTCTAACTCTATATCATGTACAACCAGAATGAGAAGTTATACTCCTTTTATATATGAGGTGTCAAACTGCATTCTGTCATGTATAACTAATTAGAACAAATGAAAAAAAWTTTTTTTAATCTGTAATTAAAGAATATATTTAGAAAAGAACAAAACCATAGCATTTGCAGGAAAATGGATGGCATTGGAGAAGATAATGCTAAGTGAAGTCAGCCAATCCCCAAAAAAACAAATACCTAATATTTTCTCTGATATAAGGAGGCTGACTCATAGTGGGGTAGGGAGGGGGAGCATGAGAGGAATAGATGAATTCTAGATAAGGCAGAGGGGTGGGAGGGAAAAGGAGGGGGCAGGGGATTAGCAAGGATGGTGGAATATGATAAGACATCATTATCCAAAGTATATGTATGAAGACACGAATTGGGTGTCAACATACTTTATATACAAACAGAGATATAAAAATTGTGGTATATATGTATATTAAGTATTGTATTGCAAAAAAAAAAAAAAAAGAATAGCATTACCTTAGATTAGGTAGAGGGAAGTGAAAGGAGGGGAAGGCAGGGGATGTGGGGATAAGAATGATAGTAGAATGAGGGCTGGGGATGTGGCTCAAGTGGTAGTGCGCCCGCCTGGCATGCGTGTTGCCCGGGTTC